AGCCCCAGCTGTCCTGGCACTCACTATGTAGACCAGGCTGGCCTTGAACTCACAGAGATCCGCCTGCCTCTGCCGGGATTAAAGGTGTGCACCACCACGCCTGGCTTAAAGATATATTTTTATTTATGATATTTATAAATATATGTGTATGTTTATGTGAGTATGTGCCACATCTGTGTAGGTTCCCATGGAAGCCAGAAGAGGGTGTCATATTCCCTGGTGCTGGAGTTACAGATAGGTTGTGAATTGCCTGACATTTAAGAGCAAGTGCTCTTACCTGCTGAGTCATCTCTCTGGCACCCAAGTTGAATTTTTAAGCACAAAACATTGCCCTGTGCCATGCACTGAAGGGAATGTAAAAGACCAGCAGGATTTGGTGCTTGCCTCGGAGGCGATGATTATCTAGTTATGGTGAGAAGATTGCTTATATGAAATTATAAAATTTTGTGGTGCTGGGTTTCAAACCAAGGGCATTGTGTATATTAAGGATATACCCTGCTCAAAGGAACTACTTCTATATCCCAAATTGTAATTTTTAAAATTTGGTTTTACCAAATATTATTGAATATTTACTATATGCTAAATGCAATACAACTCAACACAAAACAATACAATACAATATAATACAACATGGTCAGAATTAGTGAGGCAAAAAGTAAGTATCAATTAAGACAGACCCTGGGTGCATACACACAGGATGCAGCTGTCCCCAGCACTTACTAAGTCCCAACTTAGGGCTGGATGAAGCAAGGGAGGACACATGTACCTGGTGATGCCACGTGCTCCAGGTGGCCCAGCTGCGGCTGGGTGGTGATTCTATAGATCAGCTCTGCAGGCTCGCTGTCCTGGTCAGTGGCAGAGAGCTGTACAGTAGTGATTTTTTTCACCGAGTTTTCATCCAGGACCAGCCCTTTGTTAGTGATGATGACTGGTGGGGATCTGTCTTCTGAAAAATCAGAAACAGTAACTGGCATTGGGGACTTTTCAGCCTCTGTTCTTCAATTTCAGCCCAGACCCAGGGTTAAGATCAGAGCAATCCTCAGATCTCTCCCTCAGAGGCCTCTCTGAGGGACCAAAGCTCCATTTTCAAGCTCCCAGCAGGCCATGCAAAGAGCAGGGCTCAAACTCCCAGAGAACACAGTGGGAGTTGTAGAACTTCAGAACTGCTGTTTCCTGTTAGAAAGCCTGGTGCCCCTTACCTAAAACATGGATGGAGAATGACTGGTCAGCCAACTTGTTGCCGTCTCCATCAACCACATCAAATTTAAAAGCGAAGCTCCCACCAGGTTCTCCGGGTCCATGGCTGTATTCGATCTGCCCTATAAAAAGGAGTGGGCAGATGTGTCATTAGTGCACCCTGCTCTTTATTTCTGAAGTGAGAGGGCGAGACTTCAATTGGTATTCACACCAATGAATCAATTCACATCTTCCTCACTAGGCTACCATTTTTGACATTTTAATCTAAAATTTTCATTTCCTCTCTTTCCTCTCCTACCTCGACTTCCTCACACCCTAAAATCTCTCAATAACAAATTTTCAACAAGTGACAGTTCTTGTGGTCAAGGCTCAGTCAAAAATGCCTGTTGTAAAATGTACATTGTCCATACACATCATTTGGAGTGACTCTTCTATAAATCCACATCACAAGGCAGGAGAGTATACAGGGCTACAGCCCATCTTGCCAGTAACTCTTCACTCCCCACTGCCCAATAGTGGAGCACCATAGGTCATAATGAACAAATAAATAGCTCGACTAGCACATAAGAGGTGAAAAGGATCCAGAGGAAGAAGTACAGTGCATCTAGTTCCGTTAATACAGCATCATTTGTATGTACCCATCAGTGTAAATAGAACCAAACCCTGGGAAAATCCATCCGGTCTCATTTTTTACAAGGAGACACAAAGGAATTCAGTAATTAAATAACTACTGTTATCCTGCTGCTTATTGCACCCTCTTCACCAACACACAGATCCAGTGAGAATCCAGCTGCTCTCAATTATAGGTGGGAGTGCACAGACAGAGCCCTTATTTCTACTCCTCAGGGGCATATTTCTACTTTGAATATGAATTGCAAATGGTCACCTCATTGGACTATTTTTCCTCCAATCTATAACTTTTTTTTCCTCTTCTAGCCCTGAAAGCACTGTACAGTAACTACGTAGCATTTAACATTTATGCTTTTGTGTTACATCAGCACTTCCTGAAGGAGGGATGAGCCATGTAATTTCCCCCAGGCAGCTCCGATTCATGCCCTTCCATTTTGCTTAGTTCATTAACTTGTGCTCTTTGGGGAGCTGGAAAGAGATATAAATTGCTCACCTAAGGAAGGCATAATTTTCACCATAATCCATCCCAACTCACTTTTTTCTTTTTCTCTCGCACACATAATTTTTAGCATCACAGCAAGTCAAAATGACATTTTTTCTCTATAATAGCCTCGGATTTCTCAGAAAAATATGTTGTTCCCTAGAAAGGTAGTTTTTCTTTTTCTTTTTTTTTAAACAGAAGAGAAAGTGAGATGAAGAGGCAAAAAAAAAAAAAAAAAATGAAGTTATAACTCAGCTCTTATTCAAAGCAAAGACTGCAGGAATTCCTGCCATAGGATGAAAGGCACTTAACTCCTGCCTCATTGCAGCAGGCAGAGCACATGGAAGCCTGGAAAAGCAAGGAGAACCAGCTGACCTTGGCTGACGTCTGCCTGGGTGAAGCTTCGGATGGGGCCTCTAACAGAGATTTGTTCCAGGTTGTCACGCTTGACCATCTGCAGGCGCCCTGCGCCAGGGTCTTCCTTCATGATGTATATAACCTGCCCATCATCTGAGTTAGCATCTGTCACTTTCAAGTGCTGCTCTGTGATATGGGCTACTGACCCTGTGAAAGGATGGAAGATGGAAGGTCAGTCCCCATTGTTTCCTTTAAAGGGGATGTCAAATGATTTTAGGGGACTGGAAGCTATGTTATCACACATTCCTTGTGCCCAGGTACCAGGCCCACCTCAGTGTGTAGTTGAATAAATTCTACTTTGTCTAAATAAAACCATTTAGTTCTGTGCCTTTTTTTCTTCTCTATGTTTGTTCTTTGTAGTGGCCTGTCAGTCAGTCTAGTAATAGCTACTTCTATGATATAAATATTTTCTAGTTCTGGAGTTTAAGAAATCAGTTTTGGTTAAGTTTAATTTATTTGCTGTCTTTAGGAAAAACAAATAAAAAAACAACAAGTTTGTATAAGCTCATATACACACTGCATCGCCATCTCAGATGGAACAGTCAAGATCAGTGTTTCTTAAGTGAGAGAGTAAGCTAAGCAGGTCCGAGGTGCTGTACAGGGGCTGGGGACAGAGGCAAGTCACTGGCCACAGATACACTAAAAAGAGCCCTTCACTTCCTGCCCAGATAAATTTTCATGTTAAAAACAGTAAATTCTAGTAAAGTAGGCTCTCATCATTCCTTGATGATTGGCATGGCAGTCCAGTACAGGCCATGAATGCATGGCCCTCAGCACTTTCTGGAGGCCATCTCTCAGTAAGCATACTTGAGGGATTAGATAATGGCTTCCACCAGATAAAGATGCCACTAACTTAGTGCTTGCCATAAAATGGGAAGCTCCACGTGCAGCTCCTGTCATACACGAGCTCTTTAGTGTCATGTACCCCGGTGTATGTGATATTACCATGTGGTTCCTCTACATCTCTACATTACGCCACAGGTCTTGGAGGACAGAGAAGAGTGATGCAAATGTCCTGATTTCCATGCTGCCTGCTACACTGTGATAACAAAATATTTTGTCTTCTGTGGAGGAATGCTGTACCTTCTTCCAGAGTCCATGAAACAATAGCAGGCTATTTGGTTTGTTTATAAGCAGAGAAAAGGGGGCTGGAGAGACAGCTCAGTGGTTAAGAGCACTGGCTGCTCTTACAGAGGACCCAGGTTTGATTCCCAGCACCCACATGGCAGCCAACAACCATCCATAACTCCAGTTCCAGGGGATCCGATGCTTTCTTCTGACCTGCTCAGGCATTGCATGATACGGGTGCACTTACATACATGCAGGCAAAACACTCATACACATAAAATAAAAATAAATACATAAAATTAAAAAAATAAGTAGAGAAAAAGCCAATTTCTAGAATCTTTGAAAATTCTCAGAACTTCAAATTATATCCTATATATTTTAATTTTTTTTATTAATTCTTTGAGAACTCCATATATGGATATGATATATTTCTAATATATTCAACCTTCAACACCCAACGCCTTGTCTAATGTTCTTTTTTTAATCTCTAGAAGTTAGGTGCTTTGCATTTTCTGTAGGGCATAGGTGAAGGTAAATTGGAGCTGTAGAAGAGTAATGGAAAAACGATGGAAAACTTCTTGGTACCTGGTAGTAGGAAAGGTCCAAGGCAGCATGGGTGCTTAGGTCCATGTGTGGAGTCAAGACTATAGCTGGCCATTAAGGGGGTGGGAAGTCCATTCTTGAGACTCAGTCCTCCCAAGACTAGAAACTGCAAATGATGGCAAGCTCCTCTGTCCCCATAATAAGTCTAACACAGGCAAAGCCACTGCCATGCAAAATTTGAATCCTCAGGAGAGGGGGTTGTGGGGGATGCAACCACCCAGAGAAGGCTGAAACTGCTGCCTCCATCCTCCAATTATACATATATTTTTTATTATTTTTATTTTACATGTATGAGTGTTATGCCTGCATGTAGGTAAGTGTACCCGTGTTGTGCAATGCCTGCAGAGGACAGAAGAGGCTGTCAGATCCCCTTGGAACTGGAGTTATAGACAGTTGTTAGCTGCCACATGGGTGCTGGGATTCGAACCTGGGTCTTCTGCAAGAACAGTCAGTGTTCTTAACCACAGTTAAGAACAATTACACATATATTTTTAATACAAAATATAGATGAACCTAAGACTAGACAAACTACAGAATCCTAGTGCTATACAGTCACTCTAGGCAAAAGGCACAGTCCATAATTAAACAACTCCTTGCTGCATAGCATGTTGAAGACTAATGTTTATCACAGCTCCTTCAGTGCTGCTAAAAAGGGGCAAAATTATAAAAGTTAGAAGCTAGAATATCATATGAAATAATTTGCAGTTATTTGCACCATCTCTTTTAATTCCTGATAGTCTCCCAACTATCCTTCCGTGTCTTTTAACTTTGTTTTGTATATTTTTATTGAATTTTTATATGTTTCATACACAACATCTTAATCATCTTTATACCCCTTCCCCAATGGCAACCCTTCCATATCCACCCCCATTGGATTTCATGCATTTTGTCATTTATGTTAAAGTCTATTGAATCAGGTTAGTATCCCTAGACGTCCCTCAGTGCAAGTTCATCCACTGGGGTCTAGTCAGCCTATCTAGAGTCACTCCTTTAAAGAAGATCAGCTCTTCCTCATCCAGCCTCCTGCCCATTTCCACAGTTCTATGCTGAGTTTTTGCCTGCTTGAGTTTGCATGGGTCTTGTGCATGCTGTCAGCATTGCTATAAGTTCATATAAGCAGGATCCTAGGAGTTATATGTATCAATATGGTCATGCATCTCCCCGCCTGGCTCTTACAATCTTTCTTCCCCCTCTTCCACAATGGTCCCTGAGCCCTGGATGGATGAAGTTTAATATAGAAGTCCTGTCTAAGGACCCACAGTCTGAAGACTCTTATTCTCTATGCTTTGGTCATTTGTGGCCCTTTGTGTCTTCTAACTTTTTTGAAAAAAATTAAGCATCTTGAAAATATTCATATTTCTTTTGCTGTTGGTTTCCATCATGTTGGTTTGACAGAAGCACTGCTACATGAAACCTGGGTCTAGCTTGGGTATATTAATATTTTGAGGACACTGAAAATACTGTAAACTCTTCACAAACTCTTCTCAAAAGTTTCACATATAGAGGGATCTGATCCAAAGGATTTCAGTGACTCAAATTTGTCATTCACAATTCAGTATTCTTAAGACAGCAGTCTTCCAAATCTCCAGTCTCCTTAGGTGTCAGATAGTTCCTCTAAAGTCCACCCAGTGTACCAACATGGAAGGGAACTAAAGAGAGGATGGAAGAGGAGGCCACTCTCTTCTACTCCTGTGGCACTCCCTGTGGTTTGAATATGAAATATCTCTCATAGCCTCATGTGATGGCAGTTTGATCCCTAGCTGGAAGCATTATTTTGGAAGGTGCTAAAAAGTTTAGGTAGGTCACTGGGGGTGTGTCATTGAGGATGCGTCCTTGGGGGCTGGATCTTGCTCTGGCACCCCTCTGTCTCTGCTGCCTGACTGCCATTAGGTAAGCACTTCTGTGACTATGTCCTCTTTGCCATGATGCTCTGCTTCACCACAGAAAGCAATGCAGCCAATCAACCATGAACTGGATCCTCTGAAATCATGAATGCAAAGAAATCTTCCTTCTTTAAAACTATTTCTTTTGGGTGTATATCACAGCAATAAAAGGTTGGGGTAACTCACCTGCTGAGAGTTGAAGGCCTCGGTTTATAGCCAAGTTGGGAGTGTCATTTATAGGCAGCTCTATGTATATCTCCATCCTCCCTGTGTCTACATGGAGACCATCAGTGAGGGAGAACCGGAACTCATCCCTCACCACACCAGCATCACCAGGAAGGTACCCCATCAGCCCAGCCAGGACATCCTGGTAGGTAAAAGAGGAACCCTGAACTAAAACCGTTCCATTCTCTAGAGGGTCTGAAGGAGTAAGTCTCCGGAGTAGACGACCTGAAGAAGGAAGAGGGGAGCAACAAAGAAACAATGGTAAAATATACAATGCAGCAAAACGTAGTCCAATTTTGTCATTTAGTATAAACCTGGGTAGAATGTCAAGTTCCTCAGAGGCTCCTGGTGCCAACATTTAGTATTTTGTATGTAAATACAGGTGATGCCCTGTGACCTCATCTATAAATAAAGAAGACAAGTCCCACTCTTGAGGTTGAAAGTCTCTTCAAGAGGCACAAATGGATGTGGCAATACAGTGGCTTAGGAACTGTCATGCCTCCCTCCATGAATTCAAAGTCACTTCACTATTTGAACCTTATTTTGCTTTCTGCAGAGTGAAAGTAGCACTTGCTTCTGTCTTTTTCTTAGAGTACATAGTTTGTGGGTGTTTTAAATTCCTTTTAAATTCAGAAAGACACTAAGGATATCTATACCAAGGTTTATTTTTCTGTTTTCAAGGGTCATGTACCCCAAATGGTCAAGTTAAAATGCTACATCAAAGAAAGTGAAAGTGAACGAGGATGAGTGATAGAGCAGTGACCAGCAGCCTCTTCTACTAACCCTCCAGCAAATAATGTATGTTCTCCCTCATATGTGAACGATTTCATCTTTGAAAATCCAATAGGAGTTAAGAGTGATTGAGGCACACATCGTGTGGGCTCCAGAGTTTAGGTAATACTTGGGGGATGGCATTTAGAAATGAAGCTGGAAGATCCCCACAGTAGCTTCTACCTGTGCTTTAAATCAGAAAAAGTGACCTTATTACTAAAGGAACAAGTTCACAGAAATATTTCACATGTTGCCAGTCTGTAGGAGATGGCCTAGGATGATCAAATAATGCCGTCCACTCTGAGAAGATATGCAAATATTGAGACCTGTTTTGCTTGAGATTACACAGGAATGCAAGAAAACAGCTGCAATGGAGTTTCAGAGATACCAATTACCAATTTAAAAGCATCTAGGCTTTTAAAACAGCATCTATTGCAACCCAAAGTATCTTAGCTAGCTATGAACCTGACTATATTTTGATGCAACAAATGGGCCATATATAGACGAAGAAAAAGAATCACCAACCAAACCTACATACTTAGTCTCATAACCCATCAGGCCCTTCAGTCAAGAAGCTTTCCACTGCAGTTTGTGTCCTACCATGGTCAGGCTTCTTCATCAATACAAAAGTCAGCTCATTATCTGGGGTGTCCAGATCTTGTAGGCTCAAGGAAGAATTGCTTAGTACCACTCCTGAGCTCAACTGCACTCTGAAGGGCCGCAAGGTCATCCTGGGGGGCTCATCGTTCTTCCTCTGATCAAAGCATAAAATATTTGGTCTCACACACATAGTAGTTTAAGAAGAAAGAAAATGCACATTAGGAGAAAGTGTCATTACTGTAGCAACTCTCACTAGCCAAACAGTTTTTATGTGATTATCTATACTTCTTAGTCAAAATATTAGTTAAAACAAACAAACAAAAGTAAGTCACATCAACAAAATGTCCCTCTGAAAGAAAGTTGATGGGCGGTCTATAAAAATTTTCTAAGCTATCTTCCATAGGTAGAGTGACCACATGTTCTAGATATATAATTTAGAAACACAAGTATATTTTGAGGTCAAACAATATTTCAATTTGGATAGTCTTGGACAATCCTAACTACAACACAGTACCAGAAGGTCACCACACTGGGAAGCCTGAGTTTCTATACTGTCTTCCAACCCCCTCCATCACTGTCCTTTATGATTGCTGAAAGTTCCATATATTTTATTTTCCCAAGGCTAAGGGCATTTCATTCTGAGATTTTCTTTTATCTCTCTTTCTTGGGATGGTTGAGTAAAAGTGTGCAGTTGCCCAAATGGAAATAAATGAAAGTCAGGGATTATATTTCTTTGATGTTATGATTAAATGAATAAGTAAATTAAAAAAGAAGAAAAGTCAAGAATGTACACAGACTCCCACACAGAAATATCAGAGAAAAGTAGGCATATGTTAGTCTTCATCTAGATATGGGAATGGCCTGGCTTCTCTCACTCTTATGAACTGTTTTCACACCAAACAGATATATTTTACCCTAAAACAGAAATTCAGATTTCCAACTCAGACCTTCCCCAAATGCCAACTATAATTTTACAAGTTTCCCAAAGGTCACAGTTATGTTTTAAAATTGATATTTAAAATTGAAGGTCATATCCAATCCTATCTTTTGAGTCTGTATGAGGAAAGCTCTCGACAGGTGGGATACTGTGCACTCAAAGGTTCAACAACCAACTTCCAAAGTCTTTACCTCAATGGTGATGTTGATGCTGTGAACTTCAGAACGACTGCTTCCATCACTCACATAAAAACTAAAAAGATCATGAGTTGGCTCGATGCTTTCATGAACACTCTGAAAGTAGTAAATGTAGTTTTCCCGTACATCTTTAATTGGGAATGATGCCTCTAGGTCACTGGTAGCTCCTGGGCCAAAACGATCCCCTGTGTAACACCAAGAAAAATGGTTAGCTTGACTGACCAGTTCCTGATCACTAGGCTGATCTGGAAAAGAAGCTGTTACTATCAACAATAGCTAGAAATATGCTGGAGGACAAAGCTAGGAGAAGAGGGAGAGCACAAGACCAGGACTTGGAAGGTTTGTGTTGGACCCCAGTAACCCAAGACTCTTCTTCATCTGTGATTGGATATGCTGTCTCCATAGGTAATCAAGTGAGATAACATGGAAACATTCAGTCCATCTATATCTATCTACCTATCTATCTATCTATCTTTCTATCTGTCTATAATCTATCTATTTATCTATCTATCATCTATCTACCTATCAATCAATCATAGAATCTGTATTTTGTTTTGAATTATTTATACCATAAATCTGGGAGTGTATAACAATACAGCAGCCAACATTCCAAACTAAACTCAGCAGTTTCAAAGCCACTCTATGTGGCATATCCCATAAAAGCAGAACTTTCCCTGCAAAAGAAAAAGTTAACCATATACCTTTCTAGCTGGAACCTCTTCTCCAGCAAGTTCCATTTGACTTTGTTACATACATATATATATATATATATATATAAATATATATATATATAATCTTTGAGCAAAGTTCTGTTCCTCAGTTATCCTCTCTTGCTCCCCCCTCAACCAAATTACTTCTTCCCAACTCCCCCTCAAATTTTCTTTTTTCTTTCTTTTCTTGTGTGTAGGCTGGCAAAAAGTGCTAATTCAAGCTGGGCATGGTGGCACAGGTCTTTAATCCCAGTACTCAGGAGGCAGAGGCAGGTGGATCTCTGTGAGACTGAGGCCAGACTGGTCTACATAGTTAGTTCCAGGCCAGCTGGGGCTACAGGGAGATCTTGTCTCAAAAAAAAAAAAAAAAAACCAGAAAAAAAATGCCAATTTAATTCACAGGCTACCCCAACCCCTTAAATAGAAATTCTGGGACTGCTGCCCGATAAACTGCTTTTTACAAGCCCTTGAGGTGATTCTTATGCACATAAAAGTTTGAGAACCATTTTCCAGAGTGGCCAAGGCTTGCTGGAATTTTGACTTCTACTCTCCAAACATGGCTGCTTCAGAGAACTGTCAAACTATGTTACAGGGCTTCCCAGGAAAGAAACCACATGGAGAGACACGAGGCAATGGGGGGGGTGGCCTTTCACAATCTCCCACCTTGCCCATACTCCTCTATCTGCAGGAGATGCCATTTTTCCTCTGCCTATAGCGACTCTCACTGACCCTTCAAGTTCCAACCTCCTGAGACTTTCCTGCCTCCGCAGACAGAAGCAATCACTTTATTTCATGCACTCAGTGCTTTGCTCCTTTCCTGTCCTAGCATTTGTCATTCACTGTAATTCATCAGTCTTCATATCTGTCTCCCACTGCAGGCAGGGTCTACGTTATTCATCTTAACATCATATCTAGGGCAAACATTTTTGAAAGAAGCTCAATTCTTCAATAAACAAATCTTAGTGTATACGATGAAAGGCAAGACAGAGAAAAGATCCAAGACTTTTGATAGGAAATCTGACCACTCTGAATGAGTTTCTGGTTACCAGGCTCAGATCCCCAGCACCATGCTGGCCACAGACACCTGCAGCCCATGGCCTGTCTGAGGGAGCTGCTAGCTGTATGCCAATTAGAGCCAAGCACTGATGCTTGTTCACTTGGGAATCTCATTGCAGAGGCGGCAGCACAGGAACCTGCTGGAGCTGTCTCGGCTGCCAGTCACAGCAGGTCTCAGGGGGCCCGTGGACCGCACATGCCTTTTGCCTCTCCTTCTGTGTGATAACCTTCAGTGGGTCTAGGGCAAATGGTAGGGGGGAGGGATGTTAAAGAGGGTGTCATGGACAGACAGCATGCATTTCAATTCATGTCATGTCCATAGAAGGAGCTGAGACATGAGCTATAGTTCATCTGAAATGCAGCTGCCTCACATTAGGAAGACAGGCATTTTCATTTCCTTGACACCCAGTTCTGAATATAATCAGCAAGCCCCTCAGCCCCATGGCTGCTACTCCAAACCCCTTTACCCTGCTCTGTTTTTTTCCATAACACCTTGTGCCATTTTCCTATTTATTCATCTCCTTTCACCAGGATCAAAGTCAACATGAAGGTGGAGGGGAGGTGTCTGTTTTGGTTACTGACATATCCTTCACGATAAAAAAGTGCAGGACCCACAGAAAATGCTAAGCAAACTTTTGTTCAAGAAATAAACCTTCTTTCCTTTCTTCCATTTTCTTGAAATGGATCCATTCCATTTTAAATTCTCCATGTCCGGGCTTCATTGGGATACAAGTCCCTTCACCCTGCTTTCTAGATCCCAAACAAACAACTCTTCAGCAAAGCCACTCCTTTAAAAAAAATATTATTTATTTATTTATTATTTTATTTTATTTATTTTACCTGTTCCTGTGTTCTCAATGCAGCCATATTTGGGTAGAGCAATTAGTTTAATGACAGCATCACTCTGGAGGTTGTCATGATCATCAGTAGCAAAGAAGTGGTGAAAGGACAGTGGGGCTCTCCCTCCTTCATCAACCTAAGGAAGAAAGAATGTAGAGTCCTTGGGTGATTGCACAGAACTGCAGTACAAAAGAACTGAACCAAACTGTCTCCTGGGGTGACCTTCCAGCATCAGTTCAACATTTGTGGGGAGGCAGAGCTCTGCGGACGAGGTGAGTAAGATGCCTGCTGCCAAGAGAGGCAATCTTTCGGCACCTCTCAAAGATGCACTCATGCCTCCCTTCAAAGCTGAGCTTCATTCAGTGATGGATATGGCCATAAAGCAGCTCTGGCCGGTTCCAACAGCCACCCCAGCGAGCTTCAGGACAGGACAGCTGTCTTCCTGCAGCATCAACATTCCACACTGCACAGCTGGAGAATGATAGATAGACGCAGGCCTCCCTCACATTCCCAGAGGTTGACTGTCCTACAGGCGCCACCGTTCAGAATAAAAGTCCCATTTATTCCCTTCTATTGTATATTTATAGGTGTGTGGGAAGAAAGGACTTGCCATATTTGAAAGTTAATGTTTATCTCAACATCAAGGAAGAAAATAAATCAGTATAAGTTAAAGCAGTTGTTCAAACTAACCTTTTAAGGCCTGGTTTTATATGCTAACTCTGCAATCTGGGCCTGGTGTTTTCTGCTGACCTGCTGGAAATGGTCAAGGCATTTTACTCTGAACAACTCTTGGCTAGCTGCAGGGTAGCTTATAAATTACAAAATGGGACTCTGGGAATGGGGATGTTTAAGTTACTTCCCTAGGATGTGGAAATGGAAAAATGAGGTAGTAGAAGGATTATCACACAATTTAGAAATTATTCAGTTTCATGAATTTTCAAGTGCTTGATAAAACCAGAAAATGCCTTCACTTTGGGCATTACTGTGTATATATAAGGAAAGGTACATGAGTGAGCTTTCATGAACTTCTTGCTATGCACCAGGTACTGTGTTAAGGATGAGGCATGCTGATTTAATTTACCACCAGAGAAATCCTATATGTACTGGGAATCATAATATTTTAAGGAAGAAACTGAGGCTAGAAAGGATTCAGTACTTGGTGCAAGGCCAGTTGGCTAATATGTGATAGAACTGGTACAGACACTCAGCTTGGTAACTCCAGTGACCAACACACATTACACTGCCTCCTGTCCTCAAGACTTGTTAATATTCCTAATAATAATAAATATCAGCTTGATTCATGTGGGGGCACGTCCCAGACTTTAGTCGTTACCAACATTACGTTGTGATTTCCATGAATACCCGTTCTACCTCTTTTTATTACCATTGCTAATAATATCTAGCATACCATCTAGCGCATTTATATTTTTTGACTTACTAACTGAATATAATGATTTGATCTTCTGCATATAATTATTTTTATCATTTTTGAAAAGCTCACAATGAAAGCCACGCACAGTTTGATACCATTACCCAGATACTTTGGGGGAAGAGCTTGACAGCCAATTTAGGTGGAAATCCTTTATTCACATAACCAAGGATTCCAGCTCTCCAAAGCCCTGACCATATATTGATCTGAGAACTGTTTACCGTGATAAGGTCAGCAAAAGCAATGACTGGAGGCGGGTCTTTGGCAGGAGTGACTAGGATGGTAAATATCTGATTTTCCAGGTGGTTGTTGTCCATGTCTGAGACAGAGAAGTGGAAGTTATCTGTGACCAGATGATCTGTCTCAAACACAGCCGAGTATCTATAAAAGAAAAAAAAAGATAAAAAGAATGATCCGTACTAGCAAGCTGGGTAAAATGAATATACTTTTGTATAAAAATGAGGCTAGAAAAAATATATTCTTTGAAGGAGCTACAATCAGTTCCTTGAATATCTTAACACACTTAAAACAAATCTTTTCAAGTAATACAAAGGAGTTATGTACCTAATGTTGTTGCTGTTGATGTCTGCCATCGTGAAATTGGAAACCTCAGAGAGCTCCTCCACCTCAGATCCCAAGGTTCTTAAGAGAGCACCATACACAGGCAGAGAACTTAAGCGAATCCAGATCTCTGGGTCAGGGGATGAATCATCCTAATCAGGTAAATATGAGTCAGGACATGAGTGCATGTTTGCAGCGATCAGTGCTTCAGCGCTTACAGAGTCTACAGGTGCTTCCTTCCCTGATACACACAGCCAGTCTCTTGCCCTTTGTCATACATCAACAGCACTTCCAACTCCATGAAAACCCCAGTATTTATCCCTCTTCAAATGCCTCTAAGATAATGTCTTCTAGGAGCAGCTCCAGGTAACAGCAAGGAAATGCCCTTTAGGCACAGGGCATAAAACAAAGAGATAACATTTCTGTAAGAACCCTAAGATTTTGTTTTTATTCCATGCAAGTAGTGAAATACAGAATATGGTCAACCCTAAGTCATTTTCTATAGGCACAGGTGTAGGCTTCTTCTGGAGTTTCCAAGAATGGTTTGTACTTTAGAAATACATAAAATTCTATTAGAGTCTATAACACACTGTGCAATGACAAAATTCTGTGAAACAGAATTTGCTTAGCCAATGATTCACTTCAAGTAATACCAATACGACAAAAATTTGGATTAACAAAAGAATTTAGGAGGTCCTGTGGATTTCATTCTGTGAGAACTGAATCAATGGATCCTCACTTGCCAGCACACCTAATCTTAAAAGAACATTTCCCTTCTCCTTCTGCATTATTTATTGAGAAATAAAGTTGGCTTTTTGCATTTCTACACTGACAAAAGCCAAATATCTTCATGAATGATTTCCTAGGTTTTTTAAAGAGTACATTTGGAAATACCTAGGAGACAGGTGATATCTTTTGAGGAAATTTCCCCAGGTCATCTGTCTTTTAGAGGAGTTGACTGTGAAAATGGGGACACTCTACTTTATTGCAGCAACAATGAAAACAAATGTTGCATGTTCAATTTCACTTTCAAATGCAAGTTTTCATGGCTCTGCTGTACAGCTGGTGAGGGACAGACTGGGAACATGAGCACGGGCAGGAGGTGCGCAGGCAAGCAAGGTTGAGGAAGGTCGCGTTTCCATCCTTGAGGCAGTTGTAAGTTAGCAGTCAAAAGTCTGAATTTGGTATCACAGAATTGCCTCAGATCACCTGACAGTGTACAGAAGGGGAAGAAAACTTATCAAAGCAGCAGAATATTTCCTCTAAATGTATATTCTTTTAAAAGTTTCCCTCTTTCTCCATATGGTTTATTAAATACAAAGTGTAGGTTTCCAAAGAATCACTTCCTAATATTCCTGAGTTCCCACTGAGAAAAAATTTCCCAAAGACTGCTGAGAGGGGTGAGGTATCATCTTCTGAGACAAGATAAACTCCAAGGACAGTGCTCCTGGCTCCTAATTAGAATAAAGAGCTTTTGAATTTCACACTAGTAAATTTTAGCAAGGAATTGCTTATTTCGTGTCAGGCATTATCTTATTATATTTCAACTTTCAAATGACTTCTACATTTGAAAAAGTGAGGAATCAGCTATATATATTTTTTCTTCTGAAAATACCTTCTCATAATGTAAAGGAAATCACTATTTTAGGCTGTCCAAGATACTGTGAGTTCATCAAAATGCATAAGAAAATACATCTTTGTTTGCATGTAATTTTATATTTTTTGGATTAATTCCATCCTATTATTATTGTTCATTCCAAATATATTAATATACATGTAGGTATACTGAATCTGAAAATAATCATTTATCACGTATAGAACCATGAACTCACCATTCAACATGAGAATTAGTTCATAATAATTAACTTGTGGGCTGGAAAGATAGCTCAGTCAGTCAAGTGCCTGCCTTGCAAGCATGAGGACCTGAGTTCGATCTCCAGAACCCATTTAAAAAAAGTCAGGTATGGTGGCAGGTACTTGCAGTCCCCATGCTGGGGGCTCACTGGCCAGCCAGCCTATTTGCTGAGTCCCAGGCCAGTGAAAGACTCTGTCAAACAAAAAGGTGGATGGTGACAGAGGAACAGCACCTGAGGTTGTCCTCTGTCACACACACACACACACACACACACACACACACACACACACAAATAATTAACTCGTCTTTCATCTGGTCGCTGGGCCTTTTATCGCACCAATCTTGTTTCTCCTTTCCTTGAATTCTTTAATACAGCTTGATATGTTACTAAAAAGTATATTTTTAGTTTTTAAAAACACATGTAAAAATTGAGTTAGACTCTACTTTTGGGGATTTCTTTTTCTTTCTTTTTTGAACTTTTTATTGGAAACAGGATCTTTTTTGTCTTTTCATTTTTTTTAACTTTCAGAGTTATATGATCTTTTTAACACATATTTTTAATTGAATTTTTTGCTTTTCACATAAAACATCTTAATAATTTTTATATCCCCTCCCCCATCTAGACCCCCCCCCCATAGCTTGCCCCACTGGATTTCATGCATTCTGTCATATATGTTAAGACCTATCAAGTCAAGTTAGTGTATCCAGACATCCCTCAGTGCAAGTTCATCCACTAGAGTCTAGTCAGTCTATCTGGAGTCTCTCCCTTAAAGAAGATCAGCTCTTCCTCATCCAGCAGTAATCAGCTGCTAAGGTCAGGGCCTGCTGCCCATTTCCCCAGTTCTATGCTGGACTTTTGTCTAATTGAGTCATCATGGGTCTTGTGCATGCTGTCACCACTGTTGCAAGTTCATATGTGTAAGGTCCCAGGAGCCTGTAGGACTCTGTGGAAACAGGATCTCTTTATGCAGTGCAGGCTGGCCTCAAACTTCAGGTCCTTCTGTTTCAGCATTCCAAGTGCTGAGAATGGAGGTGTGTGCCACCATGTACAGCTCCTTCAGCTTTCCCCTGCTCCCCTTTCCCCTCCCTGCCATCCCCTTGGCAAGCTCTCCTTTTATTTCTAATACTTTGTTCAGACAGTCTTTTGAATTTTCCATATTGTTGATCATAGCATTCATTTTCTCTGGAAGTTACATGTTGTTGGCTAATACTAGTTCCCAGATACATGATATCTATTATTAATGGTATCATATTTTATTTTGGGGTGGTATATAGGAATGCTATTCAGTTTTTAAAGATTAACCTCATATTACAAATAAGAAAAGTAATGCAAGGGGTTTAAGTTTAAGTAACTTGCCAAGGGCCACTACATTCTGAAGTAGTGAGCTTGAATTAAAACCTTTCAATTCAAACTCCATAACACGTATGGGTTCAACATTTTCTATCCTTCCTCTAATGTTTTACTTGCAGTGGATACCAAACTGTGTCTGTACGACAAGTATCAAGGAGGCTGGAGATATAGCTCTCTTGGCAGAGTGCTGGTTTAGCACATACAAAGTACGGGGTCTGATCCCCAGCACAGGCCTGATAATGCACACCTGTAATCCTAGCATTTGGGAGGTGGACGCAGGATGATCAGAAGTTCAAGGTCATCCTCAGCTATATATCAAGTTCAAGACTAGCCTGGGCTACATGAGATCCTGTCTCAAATAAAACAATAAAATAAGCATTGGAAAGCAAATCAGGTAGAATCCATTTTCATCTCTCGTCGATGCCTCCATCTTATCACTTTCTTCCAGGTATTCACGCTCTAATTAAGAGAGTCGCCTTCTTCTTCCTCTTTATACTCTGCCCCATTTATGACTAGCATTTCAGATGACTTTTCCATTGCTGAAAGCTTCAGCGTTTTAGAGGGAAAATAAAGTACAAAATTCTTCTCCAACTCAGAGAAAGGTTGTGGTGTGCATCCCACCAGTGTCATTAGTGATGTATGCTGTGCTGTGCTTTCAGCACATTGAAATAGTTCTCTGAAATCTTTCTGCTCTGGTGGGTAAATTCACATTCAATCAGTTTTTGAAAATACACGTTCAGTTGTCAATGGGCTTGCATTTTGATGTGCTGCTTATGATACGAGGTTAATGGGCAGGAACTATTCCTGGAATTCTATTTTGGTCTGTCAAACATTTTTCAAGCCTGGTGATCTATTGATTAAATCTGAATTCATAAAAGAGTTTTATAGGATCAGAAGGCCACACTGTGCTCTAAAAAATAGCATCAATTAAAAAAATCAGAACTCTTCTGAAACTATAGTGTACCCACAAGAAGAATCAAGGTAGAATACGGTTTCTTATCATTTAAGGTAAGACAATTTACAGAGGGGAAAAAACCTGTGCAAAAGCAAGTGTTTCAAGGCTGGTGTTTTATCTAATACCTACTACTAGATTTCACAGTGAGATTCTTCATTTCAGAAAAGGGTTACTTAAAACCACATAGGGTTAAAAAAGGAAGAGGAGGGACAAGCTGTTCATTGTAATTTTGAGACGAGTGAAGGAAAAATTCAATACTAAGAACGATTAGCATTCAAATAATTATCCTTCCTTTCAACACATTAAAAACTAATCATTATTAGGTTTATATAGACAGTAGATATCTGTTTATGACACATATAACTGCAAAATAAAATTAATTATCCTCATTATCCTTTGCCCCAGATGCAGAATCAAAGAAAGAAGATGAGTTTAATTACCAAGATCACTTAATCAAGGTTGAGCCAGACATGGGGGAAATACCCAGCACCTTTGATTCTCCCCTTACTCCTTAACTACTCTGCCTCTCGTGATCCAGGAGAAGGCCAGCAGACCTGTAATCTCGCCTAGGAAATCTACAGAGAGGCATCACCAAAGAAGAGTCTCGTATTCTGTCTAGACTGGACAAGAACAAGCTGGAGAAAGTCAGCTTTCTCCCTGGAAGCTAGGAAACAACCATGGCCTCTTAGTCACTGGTCAGGCAAATTCATTTAAAATGTTCTTTTCCTGAAATTTTCAGTATAATATTATACAGGACAATGAAACAATGGAATCAGAGCTTTTCTGACAAGGGCACTATATCCTGTTGACAGTCACCAACTCCTGTTCACAATGTTTTCAAGGTTGTGTGTGTGTGTGTGTGTGTGTGTGTGTGTGTGTGTGTATGGGTGTGTGTTTGCATGTGTGTGCATAGGCATGTGGAGGCCAGAGACTGCCATCTGGTGACTTTCTTGATGACCCTTCAGCTTCATTTTCTGAGGCAAAGTTTCTTGCTGAACCTGGGGTTCACTGATTCAACTGATCTAGCTAGCCAGTTTGCTCCTCAAACCCCTTCTCTGCCTCCTAAGCAGTGAGATCACAAGTGGGTTACTGTGCCCACATGGCATACGGATGTTAGGGATGTGACTCTGGTCCTCATACTTGCTTAGCAAGTGCTTTATCCACTAAGCCATCTCCTTGGCCATCACCAAAGCTATTTGTATTCTCAGTCTACTTCTGAGACACTGGGAGAAGCCAGAATCCACACTATAACTTCAAAGAAGAGAACTTCTGGGAAGTTGAGCAAAGAGCTTTTTACATGGTCAATATCTGCTGCCTCAAGTACCCAGCCCAATCAGAAACACAGAGGAGAACCATAAGAATAAGTGTCAGAACTTACCACATAGGCAAGGTGTGACCGGGTGATTATGGCCATGCGTTGACTAGCAACAGTCATGCTCAGAGAGGAACCAGGGGCCAGCTGAGGCCCTTGGTCCTCGGACAGGGACACTTCCACTTTCACTTCTGATGTGGTCATTGTCAGGCCATCTGTGACTGAGATCTCCATGCTGTCCTCTCGAGCAGAGGACCCATCATGTACATACTGAAGAACATTTTTCTCAATATCATCATATGTGAAAGTGTCACCTTCCAAGAACAAAACAAACTGTAAAGCCAAGGACTTCTGGGAATAACACTTTTCATTTACATAGCACCTTTGTTCTACAGATTTCGAAGCTCATAGAGAATCATAAACTCTGGTACTTAGAAACTAATTAGCCTAACTGCCCACCCAACTTGGGATTCTCCCTATATCACTCTTGAAAAAGGGTGGGTTAGCCCGTCCTTCCACACTTGTCAAGGTGAGAGAGTCTGTTCAACAAGGTATCGAATTCCGCCGGGTAATAGCTCTAGTTTGTTTTGTTTTTTAAGGTTCTAAACTATATTAAGTTGGAACTTGCCTCTGTGAGATCATTCATCACTCCTAGTTCTAGAAAAACAAAGAACAAGCTGCTCCTTCTGGCTGCTCCTTTGAAATCTAATCATGACAGATAATTTCTTGAAAACTGAAGAGATGATGCCTCTTGAGCTATCAGAGGGCATTAGTTTGATTGGGGGTTATAAGGATTTTGTTTTGAAGTTTTTTTTCAAAAGTTATGAGTTTTGGGGCTGGAGAGATGGCTCAGTGGTTAAGAACACTGGTTGTTCTTGCAGAAGACCTGGGTTCAAATCCCAGTACCCACATGGGAGCTAACAACTGTCCATAACTCCAGTTCCAGAGGATCCAACATCTTCTTCTGTCTTCCGTGGGCACTGCACGGCACGGGTGCACTTACCTACATGCAGGCAATACACACATCCACATAAAAATAATAAATAAAATATTTTTAAAAGTTATGAGTTTTTAAAATTAAAAATGTAAAAATATATTTGAGAGATAGGATATAGCTCAGTGGCAGAGCTCTTGCCCAGCATATGCAAGGCCTTGGTTTTGAATCCTAGCATGGGATAGGGGTTGTTCCTTGAAATTGTAAGTGCAAATTTGTGGTCCAGAGTACTAATTCATAATAAATTATCATAATAGATTAAATAGGTGCCGTGTGAAAAAGTTTTAAATTCAGAGGATTGTGGAAATGGAATAAATGCAATAGAAAATTATGTTTTTAAACTGTAGAATTTATTAAAATTTTAGAACATTTAGTACATAAATGTTAAAGCTGCTCAGAATTTTTTTGGTCATGGAACCTTTTCTATGAAGCATCCATGGGTCCTAAAGGTTCTGCAGAGTACACTTGAGGAATTAATCTTTTTGGATGCTGTTTTCAACTCTACTTTCTGATACATCACTGGCTCTAGATTGGTATTGTGTGTTGAGACTGAAGAATTTACTTGCTCTCCATATTCATCTAAGTCCCTTCCAAATGTGTTACTCTGTTTTACTAGTGTTTATATGCCTATAAATAGGTGATTAACTCTTTACAAACATCTTCAGATCTTATACATTAAATACACAAGTACAGACTAAATGCAGTGCTAAAGAAACAGTACAGCAGCCACTTTATATTCCTCCTGGGAAGGGGCAAAGCCATTTTATGACACTTCCTTTGTGTAGTACACTAAAAAAAAAACTACCTTTGTGACTCCCAAGTGCCTACTAGTTGTACTTAAACACTTAATCTGCCTTTAAGGGCAAAAATTTACCCCACCAGGGAAATTCAGAGGGAACATATTAACACATTGCTAAAAAGAGCAATTTTAAAGTTTTGAAAATGTACAGATTGTTGAAACAAAATATGGCATTTTGGAGTGACTACTTTCAAAGGGATAATATTGATTTTGATATGTAAGTCCTCACTATTTAAAAAAAAACCTTGTCTGCTTTATTATGTTCTCTATGCTTTTCTATACTTTCCAAGCAGTCAATATGTATTTTTAATAAGACAAGCACAATAAATACCATTTTAAAAAAGTAGTCAGGGCTGGGCACGGTGGCACACGCCTTTAATCCCAGCACTCAGGAGGCAGAGGCAAAATAAAGTAGTCATAAGAAGAGATTGCAGAGTGCTTTCCACAGAATAGGACACCTATATCAAACCTCTGTCACCCAAGGCTTAGGGACCACTGCAGAAGAGAGGGCAGAAAGATTGTTAAGAGCCAGAGGTGGTAGATGACCATAAGGAAAGTTTTCCAGACAGCCGGGAAGTTTCTCAATATGATCTTACAGCAATGGTAACAGCATGCACAGGGTCATGCAAGCTCAAGTTAGACAAAAACCCAGCATAGAAGTGTGGAGGTGAAAAAAAGCCCCAACTCTAGCTGAGGAGCTACTGGCAACTGGTAACTGCTAGGAGAGGGAGAGTTGGTTTTCTTTAAGGGCATGATGCTACATAGGCTGACAGGCTCCAGTAGATAGATGTACACTGAAGGACATTTGGGCATACAAACTTGACTTGACAGGCCTTAACATATATGACAGAGTAAATGAAATCTGGTGGGGGTGCTGTAAGAGAGGTGCAGATAAGGAAGGTGTCTAAATAAAACCAAAATAATATACTGTATGAAGTTCACAAAGATTCAATTAAAAATAAAAAAAGCTGGTTACACAGCATAGATATTTAAAAAGTGTGTCTTTTTTATGGATGAAAATGCATAGAGCTAAAACTATTAGGGTTTTATTAAGATAAACATTGTAAAGATTCACACATTAAATGAAGAAAACATGCCACTCTCCACAGAAAAGCCATAAGACAGTAGAGGATCACCAGCCAGTTTTACCTATAAGTTGAGGAAGTCATAGATTTCAGAGCAGGGCTGGGGGCAGATGGGAGTGGGAGGGCAGGTGAGCAGCGAAAGGTGTCTAAAGTCTAGGTCAAGAACACTTCTCCTCATAGTTTATCCCCTAAAGGCATTCACATAAAACTGACTGCAGAAAAAACCAAATATCAAACAAATACCAAAAAACCCCAAGCAGGTCAGGCACTGAGCATGTACCTACCTGCAGCCATTGGACCTGGGAACTCTGCCCTGTACTTCAGGAGCGCTCCATGTTGAGGAGGTTTTCGAAGCTCAAAGAAGAGCTCTTCAGGGATTGTCTGTGCATCTCTTACTACCAACTGCAGGCCTGCATGAAGGAGAAAGAGAAGACAGGTACAGTGAACAACTGTGTGCTCTACATGTATAAAGCACTTAAATTACACTGAACACAAAATAAGCAAAACTGGTAATATAATCAATTCACAACTTATGAGTAGGTTGTTTCAAAAGTTCATTAACAAGTAGGTAGCTGGGAATTCAGAATACCTTTTTCCTCCATAGAGATGAGGTCAGGCATTGAAGGCTGCCAGCAGGTCTGTCCTAACCACTGTTTTTCAGAAACATCCCATAAGCTGTTTACGTTTTTTCATTTTACTTCTCTTCTTATTTTCTGAAACCTACTGAAAGGGCCAGATTTCCTGATGGCTGCTCTGGCCATCAAGAATGTGAGGAACAGAGTAAAAATGACGTACACTGCTGTATATATGGCTCATTTATAAGACTGAAGTCAAATAATATTTGACCCACCCTATATAGAAGTCACAGAATTAACTTCAAGGTAAAATCCACATGTTGAAAACATATATGGATCTGCAGGACACAGCTAACAAAACTACTGTCTGATGTTTGTTAATAAAATGTCCTTGGTAAAAGAGTAAATAAACTATAAAAAACAATCATAGTTAGAAACAAATAAAATCATGAACAAGATGGGTCAACTCTAACATGTCACAGGTTCTGAAGTCTTGTCCCCTCTTCAGGTTTGAAACAGAACAAAGAAGCAGTCATTGAAACCTGCTCCCCTCCAATCTCTTCACTCTTCTGTCACTTGACATTTTAGAAAGGGTAACAAATCAAACTCTCAGAGGCTGGAAAGTAAATTCTGTGTAGCATTCCATCACAAGGCTGGCCTCGGAAGGGTCTGTTTTCCTCCTCTCCCTCTCTCTGTACTTCTTCTATTTGCATAAAAACTGACAGGAGGATGGATGTAGGAGAGAATGCACACACCTCTAGAAGAGGCAATCACTGCATTCTGGCAAGCATTAAGAAGTTTGAAAGGCTCTGCTGCTGCAATATGGTTCAATTTCCAGAGTCATGTTTCTTTCTGGACCCCGGTTCTTACCTACAGAAGTGCGGCCTCCAGGGCTGACCTCCAGCAGGGGAGCTGAGACCTGAAATGCTGGGGGTTGTTGATCAGAATGAAGTAGGTGAATGGTGAGGGCCATCTCTGGACTTGAGTGCTGTCCATTGGAAACTAAAAAAGTAAACACACATGTGCATGCATGTGCGCACGCACACACACAGAAATCAACACATAGCATAGTTATCCTTAGCTTATTTTTATAAATACTTAGCTAGAAACTTAAGAAATTGAAGAGATGTTCAAAAATAGAAAAAAGTAACAATTAAAAGCAATTCTACCAAAGCTTTTCTATCAATAACACAAAGAATAAAAGTCCTTAAGAGCAGTCTTTTATGAATGTATTTTCACAAGGTGATTTTGATTAATGTTAATAATATAAAACATATGCTTGAAAGAAAGAAACCAGGAGCTCATGTAGTTCAGGCTAGCCTTGAACTCACTATACAGCTGTGCTAGTTAGGTTTTTTTTTTTTTTTTTTTTTTTGTCAATATGACAAACTAGAGTCACCTGGGAAGAGGGAAGCTCAATTGATGAATTTCCTCCATCAAATTAGCCTGTGGGTGTCTGTGGGGTATTTTTGATTGGCAATTGGTGTAGGAGGGCCCAGCCCACTGTGGTCAGTGTCATCCCTAGGCAGGTGGGCCTGGGCTGTATAAGAAAAGCAGCTAAGTGGGCTGGAGAGATGGCTCAGTGGTTAAGAGCACTGACTGCTCTTGCAGAGGACCCATGTTCAATTCCCAGCATCCACATGGCGGCTATGAACTGTCCTGAACTCCAGTTCCAGGGGAATCTGAAGCCCTCTTCTGACCTCTACAGCATTGCATGACATGGGTGCATTCACATACATGCAGACAATATACTCATATACACAAAATAAAAATAATAAATAAAATATTTTTTTTAAAAAGCAGCTAAGCAAGCCGGGGGGAGCAAGCCAGTAGCCAGCATTCCTCAGTGGTATCAGTTTTAGTTCCTGCCTCACAGTTTTTGACTTAGCTTCCCTTGATGACCAACTGTGAGCTGTAAGCCAAATAAATCCTTTCCTCCCCAAGTTGTTTTTGGTCAGTGTTTTGTCACAACAACAGAAAGTAAACTAATACAGAAATTGGTATCAGAGAGTGGGATATTGCTTTGATGGAGCTGATCATGTTGTTTTGGGGGAGGACTGTGGAAGGAATTTGGAGCTTTGGGCCAGGAAAGTCATTGAATACTCAGAGCTTAATGGGCTGTTCTGTACAAGCTTGGAAGATAAGTGAGGTGATTTAAATGCACAATGTCCCTCATAGGTGTTGGTATTTGGATACTTGGCTGTACTTGGTGGCCCTGTTTAGGTAGTGTGGCCTTGCTGGAGGAAGCATATCCCTGGAGGTGGACTTTGAGGGTTCATAGACTTGTCCCACTCCCAGCTTGCTCCCTCTGTTTCCTGCAAATGCTTGAACTCAGCTTTTTGTTTAAAGGCCTCCTGCCATGTCTCCCCTGCCATGATGGATGCTTATCCTTCCAGAACCATAAGCCAAATAAACTCTATAAGTTGCCCTGATCATGGTCTTTTATCAGAGCAACAGAAAAGCAAGTAGTACAATAAAAATGCTGAAAGATATTCAGACAGTGGAAGCATAGCTTGTGAAGTTTCAGAGGGAAGCAAAGACTCTATGACGGCAGTTTGTGTGATATATTTTGGATTAAGAATCTATGGAGGTAAAACTTTTTGTGCTTCACTGGAACAATCAAGGCTGGTTAGCTAAGGCTGAAAAATCAGTTGTTATGAATAAGAGACCAGCTTGACTGAGGTGCACACACATGTGCATGAGCTGTGGTCCAGAGGGGACACAAGGCTATACATTAAACTGGTAGCAGAACTTGATAAATAATGTTTAAGAGTCTCCCACACGGTACTGGTTTTGAAGGCATGAAGGGGTTATGGAGAATACCTAGGGCTTAGCGCTGTGAGAGGCCAGGAGAGGCCATTGGCAGAGGTACAGCCTCAGTTGAAGTAGAGACCCCTGTTACTAGAGCTGTCAGGACCATGGGCTGACCACCAAAGATAGTGGCAGGTAAGGAATGGAGGTGGCCTGAATGTACCAGACAAGCTGTGTGCTGTGGGTGCAGAGCCAGAGAAGTGGGACTATTCTGTGGACTATCCAGCTAATTGACATAGGAGGGCCAGTCCACCATGGGCAGTATCATCCCTGAGAAAGTGAGCCTGGGCTATAAAAGAAAGGTAGCTGAGGGGCTGGAGAGATGGTTCAGTGGTTAAGAACACTGGCTGTTCTTGCAGAAGACCTGGGTTCAAATCCCAGCACCAACATGGCAGCTAACAACTGCCTGTAACTCTAGTTCCAGGGGATTCGACATCCTCTTCTGTCCTCCGCGGGCATTGCATAACACGGGTGCACTTACCTACATGCAGGCAATACACGCATATGCATAAAATAAAAATAACAAATAAAATATTTAAACAAAAAGAAAGGTAGCTGAGCAAGCCAGGGGAAGGAAACCAGTAAGCAGTGTTCCTCTGTGGTCTGTGCTTCAGTTTTGCCTTCAAGCTCCTGCCACAAGTTCCTGCCTTGGCTTCCTTTGATGATGGACTGTAGGCTATAGCCAAGTAAAGTCATTCTTCCCCAAGTTTCTTTTGGTCATGAAATTTATCACAGCAACAAAAAGCAAGCTAATACTACTCAGGCTGGCCTCAAACTCTCTATATAGCTGAACATGCCTTTGGATGCCTTATCCTCCTGCCTCAACCTCCCTAGTGCTGAGATAAAAAATATGTGCTATCAAGTAGTGCTAGAAAAGGCTTTTATTTATGAGAAGGTTCTTAGATCAAGTCATTCCTCCAATATTCCAGAAAAATGTTTTCTTTTAAGAACTTTTAGGAATGACTCTGTTTCATTAAAAAATAACTGTTTTGGAAAAACAGAAAACATCCAAGTCTTTCATGGCATCTGTGTGCAGCTAAGCAGATCCATTTTTATTCAGCCATTATGTTCAAGGCCATAAATAGAAGATACCTTTGTGAGCAAAACAGTGACCTGACATTTTATTTCCCTGGCTTACTTCCATCCATGAGAATGCTGATCTCCTAAGGGAAATGAAAGCAGAATTGCCTAACCCTTGACTCTTGTTCCTGTTTTTTTCATTAACTCAACATCCCCTCCCCTCCCCTCCCTAAAACTAGGTATGGTGAGTATTGGTATCATCAACATGTTTATCTATAGTGACTACTGAGAAAAGTTCACTGTTGATTATTTTAAATGTGTTTTGGTTATAAGAAACTGGTTTCCTTTACATTCTTCTGGACTTGGCAGCAAGTTAAAGGGAATCTGACTTCTTAAGCAATGAAAAGATGGTTGAGGAAGTCCTGGTAATGATTTCACTTGAGTTATTTGGTCTGTCTTACCCTTGAGACAGATGTAAGAGATAGAGAGAGACTTTATGTCCTTGGTGCCTGTGATGGCTAATCCTGGGTGTCAACTTGACTGGATCTGGGATTAACTGAAATGAAAGAGATCTTCTTGATTGGATCATCTGAAGCTGGAAGACACACCCTAATGTGGGTGTTACCTTCTGATGGCAGCCCGTATAAAAGGCCAAGGCAGAGGAGAAAGCCAGGCTTCTTGCTGCTTGCCTTCTCTCTCGCTGGTGAGTTTGTCTTGCTGCTGTAGACTGAAGACTAGCTCATCTTTTGGAATTTGTCAGACCTTCAGCACCAAATCGGAACTACTGAGACATCCAGCCTTGTGGACTGAGCGACTACGGATTCTCAGCCTCTCCAGTGTGGTACAGCCATTGTTGGACTACTCGGACTCTATCCTGTGAGCTAAGCTGATAAATCTCTATACACATATATTCATTCTACTTGTTCTGTTTCTTTGGAGAACCCTGACTAATACAGTGCTTGTCCTAGAGACATCCTGAAACAGCCCCATGGAAGGAGAACAGACTGATGACAATGACAGCTTTGTGACTCTGATCATTTGGGAAAGTGTCAAAATTACTGCCTTTGCTTCTTTGTTTATGCTTAATCTCCTTCTCTCTGGATAACCAAAGATGGGATGGATGATTCTCAAATCTGAGGGTTTCTGAACAAATATATAAACTCTCCCATTAATTTCAGTGGACTCAGGATTTTCTGAGGTACCTGGAGTCTAAGTTAAAAGCCTCTGCATTAAATAAAAAGAAGCAATTGCAAAACTAGAATTTTATTTGCTCTTGCTTCCATTGGTTTTACTGTTAAGTAGGATAAGGCTCTGGGAGACTTCAACATCCTTCTTTTGCCATGAAGGAAAACAAAGGCCCTAAAACTTAAAGAGCTCAAGGTGTTCATGGTGACCAAAACACATCCTTGATTCTTAAATAGCAGAGAGTTATCTACCAGTGCATATTGCACAAATAGAATTTATACCACCTGGTCACACTGTTTTGGAAGCAAATATAATAATTTACAATAAAATATTAGCAAGTACATATCCAACCCTCTGATAACTGGCTTAAATATCCCCTGCAGTCACCATTTGCCTGGTGTGTATTCCTTGCACAGAACTGTTCTGTAGAGGCCTGCACTTATCACAAAGCCAGCCAGGTCAGGAGCATGGGCTGTCTCTCTCATCTTAGTTGATGAACCACAGTGAGTTGTTCTCCCTCAGTTCATGGGTTAATGTCAGTAGCTGGCTGCTGCCTTCATTCATCATCTGTCCAATTCAAACTTTTCTCTCACAAAACTCTTTCAAAAGAAGTAACTGCCTTCCTACTAGATTCCAATATTTTTTTCCCCTCCTAAAAACAAAACCAAAGCCCAAACTCCAAAACAAAGAGACCTTGGGCAGAAAACAAGAAATTAAGATCAGCCCAAGGTCCATTCTTTTACTTTTAGGAGGCTCAATGATCTTTTAATTTAAGGTCCTGGTGAAGTTAACTGTTGACCTTCCACCTACTAAAACTTTCAGGTCAAACCTCAGTTCTGCTGCTGCACTTGTCTTTATGACCTACCCATATATACCTCAGGTCCACAAAATCACTGCATACACCAGGTCAGGAACTTGGATTGAACTGTGGCCCTGCTCTTTCTCACTGGTAGAAACCTGGGTATAATATTTACTTTTGGTGACCTTCAGGACCCTTAACTTAAAAATGCTGAAAATAATACCTATCTTTAGAGCATTGCTAGATAACTTCCTAAGACAACATTTATTGTAAGCTGTTTTGAAAAAGCAAAAAAAGTTGTGTATTACTGCTAACTGTATGAATCACCTGCAGGTCTGTTACTAAAAATGAACTTCCACCGAGCTCAAACAGCAGTAAGCAACACTGAGCTTAGTGCATTTTTGTTTGGTTGGTTTTGGTTTTTTTCCCCTTCAAAGAAGAAAGTTGAAAGGAGGGAAATTGTTTTCCATCTCACCAAGAGTTCTCCCTATGTGATATGGTCATAGGATCCACAGATGATTCATTCCCAGTTAAACAGCTGGTCAAAAATGCTACTTACAGGTGACCATCCTCATAGCAAGAAAGCCTGTCCCTATGTGGCCCCAGGATAGCCAACCGGTCTGACTCTGCTTTTATTGAGTGGTGCTCAGCTTCTGTTGCAGTATAAAGTAAAACCAGAATGTGGAAACTTCTACACACATTTCCAGCTTAGACTTTTTCCTCCAGTATAAGGCATTTAAGTGGTTCCATTCAAGACTACATATAACTGCTACACATCAGTTGAGTGTAACACATGGATGATTATGTACCAGTCCCTGTCCTGGACACTTATGATATATGATGACGATGATGATGTTGATGGTGATGATGATGATGATGATGATGATCACTGTTATAGATGCAGTATTCAGGCACAGAGAGGTTAAGAAACTTTCCCAAAATGACTGAATTGTTGGGACCCAGACTTTAAGATCCTTAACCAATGCTATCTCTTTTTAAGAAATATGAGACGTTCATTAGGGTTTAAATGACATTAATATTTGACATCCTTAGTAGGATTTTTTTCTATGACTCTAAAATTAAGTCATTGCTATTTAATTAACCAAATAATTGTTTCAGAGGAGAAGTCACATAACTTTTAAGCACCTTCTAGAAAATAGTTAGAAGTTATGAGGGAGGGAGCAAAAAAGAAAGAAAGAAGGATTTAAAAGGAAGGGCACACTGCATTCTCTAATAAAACTGAGATTAAAGTCTTTACCTGTGAAGTAAAATTTCACTGATTCTGGGAGACCTGAAAGAGTGAGAGAGGAAAATCAGTATATGAAGCATCTAGAAATTAGAGAGAGATGAGGAAGGCACACAATACAGGGTAGAGGTTAAGAAAGTAAAAGATGTCTTAATCTAAATTATTTAGGTTTACCGAACAATCAGGAGGTCATTTGTTCATGTTATGTTGAATTTAATGCTTCAGTAATTTTAAGTAGGAAAAAGAAGTCCAGACTGTAATAATTTGGTGTCACAGCAGCTACAGTGATTTACAATACATTCATTCACATCCAATTTTATCAGTACATAAAATCCTACAAATTGGTGAATGTGGGAGATGCCATACATCACCAACTGCTGCAGGTGGGTCACTTCTATTGTAGAACCGAGTGACATCTGGGACATTGATTTATGCACTGTAACTGAGTGAGAGATTTATCTTTGGCATTTATCCCATAGATTATACAGAACACGGCTCTGCTCTTTCCAAAGAGACTCAAGGAACTAAATGGCAAGTGTAGCAGATTTGGAAATTACTTTAACCACAGCTGACATGCTTTCTCTTCCTCTAATCCCAGAATAGCCCAAGTTTCTTGTAAAGTAGGTCTTGTAAAGTAGGGGCTGGAGAACTACGAATACTTTCACGGGCTGTTAGTTAACCAGGTACTAAACACTAAGGACACTCCTCAGAGAAGGGGCCTCTTCCTGCCCAGAGTTTCAGTCTAATTGAGGAGTTAATCATTTTCTGGATTTTTGAACTTATACCAAATAATGACAAATATCAGTTTATGTTTAGCAGAACTAAAAAAGAAACTCTACAATTATTTAACTCATGTTCATCAGGAGAAGCCGCCAGGTACTCTATAAGATTAGATCTACTATATAATAGTAATGCCATATATGCATCTGGTTGTATACTACATATATCTTAAATATCATAAGAAACAGGCTTCAAGATCTTTAGAATCATTCCAAGGCTATAACGTGGTGATGAAGAGCCCCAACTTCCCAGTCAGCTGCTTTGACAAGGGAAGAGATGGTAGCCAATGTTAAAGCTATTCTGGTTCAGTGAGAGGGTATGCATTACTTTAATATGAATTAACTAATTTTAATAAGTTTGTTTTCCTCTCAATCTTTTTTTAACATTGTCCTTTGTCAAGCCCTGGATCTGCTGTTGGAAGGTTGCCTGCATTCTTCATACCTACACGGAGCCTTCCCTGAGGTCCTGCAAGATGTTCTCACTGGACTTGGCTTCCCCACAGACCTCTCTTGTCCCGCCTCCCTGCCAAATGCACGCACATCACTGTGCTCAAAAAGTCCTTATGAAAGCCAGTCCCTGCATCTTCAAACTTCCACTGGGTTTCTCATATCCTTGGATTAAACACCCACATCTTTAAAGGCTTCTGGGGACTGTCAAGCCTGGACTGTCTTTCTTGTCATGCCCATTCCTGCTCTGCCAGACCCTGTGCATTATAGAACTACCACAGCCTCTTTTTCAATCCCTAGAATGTTACACTTTCTCTTTTCCTAACTCCTTTCTTGAGGCACATTCCCTTCCTGCAGGAATACTCTTCCTGTATCCCAACATGCACATTTAGCTGTTTTAGCTTCAGTCCATCCTACTTTGCCAGTAGCTACTGGGCAGTTTCCTTCGTGCCCTCAGTCCAGGTCAGTCTTACTATGTTTAATTTTACCATTGAACATTTTCCCTGCTATCCAAAGCTCTTATCTCAGTCTGCAAATAAGCATTCATTATTGTGATTATTTTCCAGCTGTTTCTATACCTAGACCCATCACCAGGTCAAGAGCAGAGCTTACACCCCTTTTCATTCACCACTGTATCTCTAAGCACAAAATTAGTGACTGACACATAACAGCCACAGCATGAAGGTTTACTAAAAGTCTGCCTTACACACATAAAGTAATGGTGAAAAAAGAGCCCAAGTCACACATAGGGTGACAGGGACCAGATATTTTGAATAGGTAGAAAGCAGTATCACCAAACTGTCTACGAGTCTTTGGAAAGAGCTGGAGAATGGGCCATGAAGATTCAGAGCACAAGTTGGGTACCTCAAGATAGAGAGGAAAGCATTACCAGCAAAGGAGAAGGCCATGATCTCCTGGAGGTGGGGTGCTGCCGTGGGAGGGCGGTACATGATTTTGCCCTGGTTGACATCTTCTTGTGTGAAATACTGGATGGGAGAGTGAGGCTGGTCTCTGTGTTCGATGATACCTGGGGAGGAAGAGATTGGCATGATCCTGGGCAATGATGCTCTGTTAGCTGGATGGCCAGGCTGGCCAAGCCCACTAGTGGGAGCCTTGATCCTTCAGGAGCCATGTACTTATGTTGCCATGTTATTCAAGAAAAGGGCAAATCTGGGGCTAGGGAGATAGCTCAGTTAGTAAAGTCTGGGCCCTGCAAGCATGAAGACCTGGATTTGAATCCTCAGCACCCATTAAAAAAGCCAAGCATGGAGTGTGAACCTGAAATCCCAGTGCTCAAGAGGCAGAGACAGAAGGACCCATGGGATATGCTGGTCAGTCAGCCTAGTCAAATAGGTAATTTGCAGGTTCAGTGAGAAACAATGCCTCCCTTCCCCTCCCCCCACTGAAAAACAGTAAGATAGAAAGCAATTGAAGAAGACATCTGATGTCTACCTCTGGACTCTACACACACATGTGCATGTTCACCCACACCCACATGAGCACATACAAACACACATTGTGTACACACATACACACACGCACACATCTGAAACCCAAATGGAGTCCTCATTGGGATTCAGGGAACATAAACCACACAAAGTGAGGTAAGGTGCAAACCACTACTGCTAACCTAGGTTAGAGCACATAATCTTCCAGAGGTTATAGACGTGCTACCATCACTGAGACCTTCCAACTGAGTAGCAAACTAAAGGTCAGCGTTCCTGAGGGATGGGCCGCACTGATCTGATAAGGCTGCTAACATAATATTTTCTAGCCTTTCCTTTTTACTTCAGAAACTCCTCAGTCTCTGTGACAATTCTTAATAACAGAAGCATGGATCTTGACTATTCTAAGGCCTAGGCTTGCATTATCACTCAGCTTACGGTCATTGCTTCTGGAGCTGCAAGCCTGCCTGCAGTTCATAAACTTTGCAGGCACAGAACTGAAGCTGTGTTCATCTCCATGTCTTTAGAAGGAGGTACATGTAGGTCTTGCTGTTGAAGCAACTGGATTTCTGTGACAGCCAGCCGTTTCTACAGGAGACAGCCTAGGCTGGTCTGAAAACTCACACTGTGGGGAGAACCCCCAGCTACAACTTAATGACTTCATTTCTTTAGATCTTGTCAAAAGGGTAATGAAGTTTAATTATTGCAATCTTATTTCTTCTTGGAGAACTAGTAATGGGAGAGGATTTCTGTTGGGCAGTGTTGGTCTTGGAGAGAATAGCTTCAGAGGCAGGAGCAGAGCTGCCTCTATGGAAATTGATCTTTTGTTGTCTTCTCTTGGGCACAGGCTTATTAGTTAAGCCCAACATTAAGAGACTTAGAGTTTGGAGACAGATGGCAGGTGCCATGTGTCTTCTGACTGTAGTTCCACATTTCCATATTATCCTTTGGGAGGGGTGACTTTTTCAACTTGGGAAGGCACTGAACATGTGTGGCTTAGCCCTGCTCTGGACCTTGGCAGAACACCTAGTAGTGAGCACCTGTTCATTTTGGTTAGTTTGCCTGTCACCACCTCTTCAGAGCCCCATACATTGCCTGTGTGTGTCTAGTTTTGCAAGTGCATGGTAGGGGACACTATGGCTCTAGTACAGTTCTGTCAGAGCCAAAGCTAACACACTCACCTCCCTGTTCCTCTCTGTTCTAAACCAGAGGACAAGAGCATGGAATGTGAATATTAGTTCTTCTTTAAAACCTCCACAAATATTGCTATGTAAGCAAGCAGGCTGAACTCCAGAGATTTTAGGACTAGTCTGTAATCACAAGGCAGTGGCATCACTCCAAAGAACTCGTACCACATTCTTACCTTGATTTGGACGCAGAGGTACGGTGATATTATATATAATCTTCCCATTGGGTCTCTCTGAGTTCACAAAGGACAGGGAATGGGGTTGAATGACAGTCAGGCCATCTTCACGAGCCTGAACAAAGTTTAGGAAGCAGGAAGAAAAAACAAAGGTGCAATGAAAACAAGTCAGAGGCAAAACTAAATCTTATTAAGAAAACAAAATCGAATTTACTCTGGGATTTTAAATTAGTCTCACTTCACAAAATTTTCTCTAAGAGTTTAATATCTGGTCTCTTATGCTGCAAATCTGCCTATCCCCAGGACCCTCTCAGGTGATAGAGGCCTGAGCAGTTTTATCAACACTCTGACTCTTTCCTCCCCTCCTCCAGCCCCCAGGTTTATGTCAGTGCATGCTGTTGGGGTCCCAGTGTGACTATAGTTTCCCTAGAGGGAACATACAGCAGAGCACTTCAGGAAATAAGGTACCACGGCGAGTCATTCTACGAACCACGGCTGGCTCACCACATCTGCTCCTCCAGCTTCGTGGGCTAACGTTGAATCTGGCATGCCATTGGAGGACCAGGCTGAGAGGCTGAAGTCTTGGCCCCATGAGGTTTTTCAGAGAACTCCCTGTGTCCCCAGGCTTGCTAATGGGCGTTCTGCCCACTTCCACACTAAAAGCGCTTGCTGTGCACATTCAGAGGTTCACAAGACATTCTGTTACTAAAGCACACGGAGCTAGCCTCTCTCTTTGTTTCTAGTCTACTATTTGGAGGAACCTAAATATCACATTGCCCTTCTACCCTTCAATGAATGAGTTAAACAATATTAATTGGACAACATGTCTGTGACTTTCACTACTCATTTGTACACACCCATATCCCCCAACAGGAGTAACACTCAAAAAGCCCAAAAGGCAAGATTTAGACTCCTTTCTGCCACAGGCATGACAGTAGTAGATTTGGGGACAGCTGCAGCAAAACAGTGTGTGGAGAAGACAAGGGAACGTGAGTGTTGAGCCTGGGTCTGGATCACTCACGCTGCTTCAGAACCAAACAAACCATCCTGCCTGCTGCAGCCTCTTCTTGACTGACCCCTGAAGGCAGGTTAGAGTTTGACATGTTCTCTGCTTTGAAAGCTCTGCTCCTTTCAGAAGGAATTTCCCTAGTTAGAAGCGGATTAAAGGAGGCTCATTCCTGTTCATGGAGGAGGGTGTGGTGATCTTCCCTTTGACCATAAAAATACGAAGGCTGCAGTTGCTCTGTAACTGTCCCCAAGGCACAGTTGTCTCAGGGAGAGGCAGCATCTGCAGGTTAGGACAATCCCCTACAGTAAAGAGTCATATATCAGGGCCTTGCTCAGGTCTGGAATGTAATGAGCAAGAAAATTAGAATTTCCAACAGCAGCTGGGCTTTCCCTGCCCTGCTACACTAACATAAAACAAGTATGGACAACAAATTAAAAATATATGCACCATAAAAAGTGTTTACAGACCAGTCATGTGAGCACAGACACAGACACAAAGAACACAGTTCAGTACAGTGTTCTGTATGTTTTGGCACCTTCTAATATCAAAACCACCAAATCAAATATTCTCAGAGTACCATGGAATACTTCTAAGCATTGAGATGTCTCTAAATAAAGTGATAAGAAGACAGAATCGCCATAGAGATAGGACTGGGGTAAAGAGAAATCGGCTCCAGCCAACACAAGACAGTCTATTTTGGAATTTAAGGTACTAATTCTCTATTAGCTAAAATAGATAGTAGGTAGATAGGACTTAATTTTCTGAAGAAAGCAATATTGAGATTGTGATATATCAAAGCACAGTCAATTTTAATTATTTGGAATATTCAATATTTGTCAACTAAGCCGTCTAAGAAACGAGCGATTACACTTCATTAAAATCATCACTGAAGACATTTTTATAACGTATCTGACTGAAGAATATTAGAGAATAATTGTTTTCTTCATAACCATATTACTTCTGAATATATATCCAGAATCCAGATCTTTCTCTCCCAGTTGCTCTGGCCCCCCACCCTCTGCTCAGAATCAGCCCGTCCCCTGGTACCCACAATGTCTCCCCACTGCACTTTCACCTTGCCACAGCCTGTTCCATCCATGCTACCAGCAAGGAGCCTCCATAAAGGACACCCAACCTTGCTCCCCACCGGCCTTGGCATTCCATCTCATGCTGAGTAGAAGCCAGATTCGAGTACACATGTGTTTGCAAGTTCAGGGTGGTTCCCATTTCCATTCACTATGCTCTACACACCTCTCACAAACCCACCCCCGGCTGAAGCTGCCATGCTTCCTTCTGTTCCTGTCCTCAGTAAATGGCACATAAACTAGGGTCTTCCCGTGTCTAATTGGCCATGTCACTAAGCCTCTCTTAATTGCTTTTTAACTTTTAAAGGTAATCTGAACCACGTTAAAGTGTATAGTAGCGCTAACTATAAACCACACTCATACAAAAGATCTCTAGAACTTTGCCACCTTACAGAACTGAAACTATGTCCCCCTTCTGCCTTTCTGCACTCCCCCTGACCCTGGAAACCACCTCTCTGCTTCCCTTTCCTGATCTTGGCTATTTCTAGATAGCTTCAACAAGTGGAACCATGCCCTATTTGTCCCCTTGGTTCTTGGTTTATTTCTCTTGGCATGTCCTCAAGGTAATCCATGTTAAGGAATATGACACGGTCTCTTCTTTCACACATATATCACATTCCAGCCACAGCTGGCCTGAAACACACATTTTATCTATTCATGTATTGCTGGACATTTAGATGACTTCTACTTCTTGGCTATTGTGAATAAAGCCACAATAAACATGGGGCTTTCCGTAACTCTGACTCCTCATTCCCACCACATGGGGTTCACATTACTAACTTAGTCACCTATGTAACTATAAAAGTCTATTTATTTTGGGGGCTGGAGACATGGCTCAGTGGTTAAGAGCACTGACTGCTCTTGCAGAAGACCCAGGATTGATTCCCAGCACCCACATGGTGGCTAAGAATCAGTTCCAGGGGAATCCAACACCCTCTTCTGACACACATGCAGGCAATTGTGTACGAGTGTATTGCCTGCATGTGTGTGAGTGCACCCGTGTTGTGCAATGCCATGGAGGTCAGAAGAGGGTGTCAGATTCCCCTGGAACTGGAGTTAAGGACGGTTTGTAGCTGCCATGTGGGTACTGGGAATCGAACCCGGGTCCTCTGCAAGAGCAGTCAGTGCTCTTAACTGCTGAGCCATCTCTCCAGCCCCAAATAAAATATTTTTTAAAAAGAGTTTATTTATTCTCTACAAGGGTCCCATCCAGGATGCTCTGTAGCCACAATCTTTCTAAACTGATCATTTAAAGTCTGGTCATGGTGTTTTTCTGTAATAAATCTTCCCAAACCCTTTCCAACAAAATGTAAAGTCCTTTTATTCTTAAGGTCTCCCAAGGTCTGACAGCCATCTGGCAACTTCTGTTCCAGTCACCTACTGCCTGTTATTTCTCAAATGTCTCACATTCTTGTGTCTCTATTCTTTTTGTCTGTTGTTCCTGCTCTCTAGGATGGATTTCTTATTTTTAGTTTAGTGAGTCCTCAGGTATGGTGATCTGAACAGCAACAAGCAGCATCATCTGGAAACTTGCTAGCAATGCAGGTTTTTGACTTCACAACTGGAATTAGAACAGTCAGGGGTGAGCTCCAATAATCTGTATTTTTTATCTTAAAAATTATTTATTATTTTTATTTTATGTGTATACTTATGTATATAAGTGCACCCGTGTTGTGCAATGCCCATGGAGGTCAGAAGAGGGCATCAGATTCCCCTGGAACTGGAGTTACAGGGGAATTAAAGATGGTTGTTAGTCACCATGTGGGTACTGGGAATTGAATCTGAGTCCTCTGCAAGAGCAACCAGTGCTCTTAACTTTTTGGTCTTTTTGACACAGGGTCTCCTTGTAGTCACAGCTGGCCTGGAACTCACTTTTTAGACTAGGCTGGACTGGCTCTCATAGAGATGTGAATGCCTGTTTCTTCAGTGCTGGGATTAAAGGTATGTGCCACTGCACCTGGCTAATAATCTGTATTTTTAAATACTGCTGCAGTTGATTCTAATATATGCTTAAGTCTCAGATACTAAGAACCCTCAAATCTAGAAATAACTATACTCAGCTCCTCTCTCATGCCCATTGTACAAGGTGCCCTCCCCCTTGCCCTTGTATGATTGCTGTCATGGCATTCATCATTGTGGAATCCCTGCTAATCTATTTTCCTGTCTCCGCACAGATACAAAGATGCTTGAACTAGAAATTGTGCTTTAAGTTCACAGAATCTCCAAAGTCGTCTTCACTACTTGTCACAGGAGCTCAGAAGGGTTTATGAACGGATGGCTACAGCAGCAGAGAGGCAGATGCCTTTAGAACACATACATGAAGACACCCCATCTGTATTTATCACATGTATTCATAATTGACCAAATATGTGCAAAACTTGACTGTTTAGATGAGTCCAAATCACCAAATCGAGGCTATGTTTTTGTCACATATAACAAGTATGCCCTACAGTAACAGCCTTAATTAATGTCAAAGGGAATATAAACTGTGTACATTTTAAGTAATGTAAGCTAATCACATTTTACAGTAAACTAACTTTTTTGAGAGATCCGAGGTTCACCAGCAGACCTAATCGGCAAACATGTAGCTGGAGACCACAGATGGCAACCGGAAGCCCCTTCAGAAATTCATAGCTGACTGAATGACACGGTCGCCATGGCTCCCGGCAGGTTTTATTTTTTTCCTTCTAAACTCAAAATAACACTGCTTTGCATTTGGCAAGAACTACATTTGCACATTTTTCTTTACAGTTTAGAGAAAATTCTGATCCAAGTTCCTCCAGTCAGAATGATGAATTATAGACTTTATAATGCTGCTGAATTATGATTTCTTTAAATTACAGTTTGTGCTGGAAATGCCGATACCAGCTATTCATTAAAAACTTTCTGCCTTCCCCTTTATGTCTCTGTCATACCCCAGACCCATAATTTCTGAAACTATCGCTGTTCTCTTTGTTGTGGCTCAAGACCGATACACTACCCTGGAGTATAATTATGTGGGTGCTAACTAACACATGGACCCATAATAATTAATTTACAGGGACTTGCATGCTCGTGGCTGTCTGGAAGAGCAGCTTGGCATTGCAACCGCCCTAGACATGGGGCTACAGTGCAGCTGCTAATTGTCTGAACTGAACTTTATGGGCTAATTCAGGTGATGTCTTCCTTCAGGCGAGTCGGACCTTTTGACATCATGACGTGATGTCATCTACAAAGTTCATGCTGAAGAAGCCCACAATCAAGTCACCAAAAATTTGCAAAATTATCATATCTCACAATGTTTTAGGATAGATTGGTTTTGTGTTGGGGTGTACTCAGCCACAGGATTCTCGTGGGACAAGGGTTGGACACACCTGCTAGATCTTTCTATGGGGCATTCAAGGCACCCTGGGATCGTGCATTAGTCCCCACTTCCCCACTATGATACCTTTGCTTTCCTCATTTCTCCAGCCTGAACAATCTGCTCTTTCCCAGCAGTTTTCTGCTGTCTCACCTCTGGGTCTTCCACATGTTCTAGATGCCCTTTTCCATCTCCCCTCCATTCTGCCCAGCTGCTCCCTAGTTAATACTAACTTCAAGCTTTTCCATTATAAGGGAAATGCCTAGTAGGGCTTTGAAAAATGCATACAGTTCTCCAGCTAGGTGGTGCTATGACTGGATGAATAATCATACCCCAGAGGTACGGATAACATGAAGGTTCTTGCAAATACTCCGCAAGAAGGGTTGTAGCTGTCTGGGGTGCTGTAGAAAGGCTGGGGCAATGGGTGGAAGGTCAAGATAGATTGCACATAATCTTCCTTTTACTGCAGAAACCTTAAATTCCATTTTCAAGCCAGTGAGAAATGTCAACAGGCTGCTGTTGTTACCCCTTAGGGTCTGTGTTTGGGGCCCGGCACTGACTACATCCCACACCAGGCACACTGGCTCACAGCTGCATCGGCAGGCCTGGGTGCCCTATTCAAGAGGAAAGAACGAGCCCTCCCACTCAACTCACGGTCATGTGGAGTGATGTCCCCAGAGAGAGTTTAGGTGCCTCAGGAGTCTGCGGTAAGATTGCAATGTTGAACACGTGACTTTCCAGGTGGGCCTGGGCATCTGTGGCGCTAGACACCTGAAAACCAAAATCATCCCAGTGAGCCCCTCATCTTCTGTGGGGTTGGATTCTGTGTATGCATATGTCACAATGTTCAACCTGTTTTTTATAATTTTATTGTTCATTACTTGCTGAGTGTAAAAAAATATATAACTGTTTCAGGCAATTCTGAAAATGAGGAAAACATAAATAAGAAATTTAAAAATCTAAAATCCTATTGCTTAGAAAGAGTGATTAGTGATTTATCAATGCGTTTCAGATGAATCGTTTTTGTGCAGGTATATCTAAATTCACATGTACTTTAAAATTCTTTTTACTTAACCCAATATGATATTTTTCTATAGCATTAAATAGTCTTGAAAGTGGATAATCTTTATTTTTAGAATGTGTTACTGTGAGCCTACAACATGATATTTACTCCATTCCTTCAGTCTTTACCCAGTAGAGACACTGATAGACACCTAGACAATAAATCAAAAATCTCTGCCTCATCGCTGCAAGAGAGTAATAACATTTACAGTTAGTGGCCATAAAATCAACTTTTTCTTACTTCAAAATGCTGAAAAATGTGCTGGGTCTTGTGGAACATGCCAGTGACTCCAGCACTAGGGAGGCTGGGGGGCAGGGGTCGTGAGTTGGAGACCAGCCTGGGCTAACTAGTGAGACACTGTCTCAAAGAACAAGTTAAAATAATGCTTTTCCTCAGCAGTTGCTCTCTCACTCCCTCTCAGTGCTCCTGAGACACTCCCTCAGCCCTCTCGGTCTGCAGTGTTTGCTCCACCTCCTTCTTGTCAGGAGAGCTGCTGAGCTTTGTATAGCCGCAGGCAGTTAGAGGGTCCTGCCGGCTGAGACAGAGGAGGAAGGATAGCAGCTGCACCCAACAGAAAAACTGTCCTCAGTCTTGGTCTAGATCACCTTGGATGCCTGCACTCATGTTTAAGGATATCCATGTCTGCAAGGAGACAACTTGCGGCATCACTGTGAGTAATGCCAATACAGTAGCTGTACCTGCTGATCACCTAGCATGGGCTCAGCCCTTATTGGTCGTTTTGCAAAGGTGATCTTATTCCCCACAAAGGAACACTATGGTCCCCTTTTGTACAGCGGAAGAAACTGCTAATCAAACATTAGAGCAATGTCTTAAAGTCAAAGACAATAAATAGGTCAGTTGTTTTCACAATCTTTCCACTCACTTGAATAGAGTTCAGAAATTAGGAGAGGGGGGAAATATTTTCTTCTGTCTTTAAGGCAAAGAAATGGAGCAATGGCCAGGTAGTGAAATGTGGGTAAATTACTGAGCAAAGTGGTTCAGTACAGTTTCCCAGTGAAGACACGGGTAGTAAAATATAATATGCAGGTCTTTTTCAAACCACATCCCCTGAGACTGAGTCAACAGGATCTTAAAATACCAAATCCAGGGTTATTTCCCTACACCATGATGACTATGAATGTATATGCCTCCTTCTCTTGAGACCATCTCTATTTTAAATGCCACTCACCTTCCATAAATCCTGCTTCTTTCATGCAAAGTAACAGATGGACTGCATTGATGGCTCATGACAGCTCATCAACATTAAAATGGAATTAAGTCTATACAACTCATTATATTACACTTTCTGCTTTAAAGGTAAAAAAAAAATAGGAAGGGGAAAAACATTATAGCAGCATCCTTTTTAGTTTAAAATCCTCTAGGGACACTAGGATGATAAACAGGAAAAGTTGCTAACCATTTATTTTAGCACACTGCTATAGTGTCTGTGCATTTCAAATCAAAATAGGAGGTATGCCTATAAAGTAAATGAAATTCTAAAAACAAACAGCAACATTTTCATAACCAGGAGAACATCATCCCAGAGAATTTTTTCACACTTGAAATAAAGGTGCTGTCCATGTTCAAAATGCATTTTGGGGGGAATGCCTTCAGAGGGAATTCACAAATCATTTAAGAGAGTTGATCTCACTATCTCATAATTGCTCCTACTTAACCAAAAATAACCAGTCTTTTATTTACCAGACCACACTCTGCATGATGCTTGGCTGATTTGTTATATTTTTAAACCCACTTCCAAAAAGTGATATACTGTCACTCTTGAGGATTATCTAAAGAATATCTCAAGCACTTGGAAAGCAATTTCAAACACAAATTCTAAGCACATTCCATACAAAAAGTATGAAGATTGTAAAAGGTATCACTTTCTAAGTGATAATGTTCAGTAGCTCAAGTGAGACTCAAACTCACTGTGTAGCTGAGATGACTTTGAACTCCCCATCCTCCTGCCTTGGACCCACTATGTGCTAGAATTATAGGTGTGTGCTATCATACCTGACTTGAGTAGGCATTTTTTTTTTGTAAATCAGTACCTTTTATCTTATTTTTTATTATTTCATTTTACCTACTTTGTAACCAACTTGCAAAAACAAATGCTATTGTAAGGAGGTGCCAAGACTCTCCTTTCAGTGCAGGACTCCATATCAACAATGCTCTGTCCACCCTGTGAAGGGAAAGGCAGATCTCTGAATTCTAGTTTGTTGAGGTGACTTCTTTTGATTGAGGTCTTTGCCTCAATACTGACTCATTCTCTGAATTCAGCTGCAGTCCCCAGGTGCAGGTGCTAAAAGGGCATGGAGTATTTACTCACTTTGTGGACATTCAGTGTGTTGAATATAATCTAATTTTAATCGTTTCCATATTTCTATCAATCTGCTCTTTGGAAAAGCATGTTTTATGCAATATAAATTAGCCAGGTGATGAAGATGCACAGGCCAGGTGTTAGAAGTGGAGTACATAGTAATTTTACCAAGGTGAGCTGAGCTTCCATGGTTAATTTTTTTTGCCAGGTGGCTTCTCGGACAAAGGAAAATACTATAGTTTGAGGATGACAGTGTGTTGGCTGATCAGCATCAACAGATATTTTCTTTTTAGAAAAAAATTTTATTGGGGCTGGAGAGATGGCTCAGTGGTTAAGAACACTGATTGTTCTTGCAGAAGACCCGGGTTCG